TCAAAATTGTGAAAGGGGAGAAATGTGTCTGAAAAAAATAGAGTCTAAGGTTGGGTTTATCTATGTAATTCTTTTATATTTCATAAGTTCTATTCCTTAAATGAAAGGTTTTCATATGTGGTTATTACTGAGTATGTCATCATTTTAAATGTCTTGTTCATCCTGTCTGGATGAGTGTATTACAGATTCTCGTATACTTGAGCTAGGGTACAGTTTACTCTTGTTTATAAAAGTCATCTGAAACAACTCAGTACTTTAACTTTCCAGTTTAATTGTACACGTGCCCCTAAATCATCCTCTCCTCTTGGCCTGGTGCACTGGTGGTTCCCAGCAAGTGAAGGGAGATGATTATTTTTTCTCTAGTATCTAGTTCCCTAAACTCATACTTCTTCACCACAAAACCATGGAATACACGTCATACAAAAGGAGTTTTAGCATTTCTATTTTCTTGTCCGTTGCATGCTATCTTGGTGTGGTTTTCAAATACGTGTCTCCATGTTGATGAATTTTAGGCCTTTAGGTACCTAAGAGGAGTAGACCTGCTCTGTTCTGGCTAACTTGGAAAAAGTATTGACTGCATTAAAAGTGCTGCTATTTACTTGGAAGGACTTAGAGTCTATAATACTCAGTGATCTATCATGGAAACAAGAACTGAGTACCATATGTTCTTTCTCATAAGCAGTCCCTGAACAATTATCATAATACTTTAAGAAAGGAATTGGCAGTAGTGGAAAACCACAGGTGGGGATGGAGTACCCACACTTCATCAATATGGGTACCTGATCTCAAAACCAAGTGAAGTGGGGACCAAAGTGAGGCCCAAACTTTACCTGTACAATGACTATTTGCATACCTAACCCTGAGTGGTACCCCACATCTTTAAAAAAAAAAAAGTCCTATTTTTTTTTTTCTTTCTGTTTTTCTACTAACTGACCCTAGGACCTCCATAAGTCACATAAGCCCTCCAAGCCACACTTTTCCCCTCATCTTCTGAAAGGGAATATACTTGCTATAGAGTAATATGAAGTACTATAAGACATATACTACTTATTGTGAAGACTACTCAGGGAATACCTGTTTGTGGAGTTACTTTTCCTTTGAGCTATACAATTTATAAACTAACTTGTTAAAATAATGTGGAATGTTTCAACAATAGACAGTTGGGCTTTTGTTTTTCTTGTAGAATCTGTCCCGGCACACTCTGGGATAGGGGATATCTTGCTGTTTGTTATACAGTGTGCTCAGTGGGTACTTCACGGGGAATTTGTCAGCCCAGGGTGTGTGATTGCCCCAGGTGACTCATGTGTGTGTGATTGCCTCAAGGGGTTCACGTTTTGGTTATAGTTTCTTCTTTAAGATTCCAGTTGTTTTGTTTTTTTGAGAGACAGGAGTTTAAAATTTTCTTTTGGTGGCTCATGCCTATAATCGCAGCACCTTGTGAGGCTGAGGTGAGAGGATTGCCTGAACCCACAGGTTCGAGACCAGCCCAGGCAACTTGGCGAGACCTCATCTCTACAATAAATCAAAAAATTAGCTGGGCGTGGTGGCACGTGCCTGTAGTTTCAGCTACTTGGAAGACTGAAAAGGAAGGATCATCTGAGTCCAGCAGGTTGAGGCTGTGGTGGCTGTGAACATACCACTGCACTTCAGCCTGGGCGACAGAATGAGACTCCAACTCAAAGTAAAATAAAATAAAATAAAATTTCTTTTAGAAAAATTAGCCTTCTTCAAGGGCATTTTGGAGGTGCTAGAACTCCCTCTTGTGGGATTCTGCAATATGTTCTACAGCCAGTGAAGTAAAGTAGTGGTTTATCTTTGTTATGCTTCCAGCTAACAGAAGAATCTCATTTAAAATGGCAAAATATAAATCCATGTATCCAGAGATTTACCAAGAATGTCAGAACATTAGGCTTTAAGTCACATCAATTTGCTATTGCAAATAGGATTGCCAATCATGTTCAGAATGATAATTTTGAACTTTTAACACTATCACTTCTTTTGTGGAAATATTTTAGGGTAGAGTATTGCCGTGTCAGATTAAGACTAACATAATTAAATTGTAGATTTTTAAAAAATAATGTAATTATAAATGTGTCCTTTGAAAGTATGTTGATATGGATTTTTTTTTTTGGAAAAAGCTTCAGATCAGAAATACACTGAATATCAGGTTTTATTATTCTTTTTGTTTTGCAGGCACTGTTTCCTACTTACAGTGTATGTGCCCGCCTCTATCCATTCACAGCTGTCAATTGAGTGCTAGGCAATTGGCAGGCATTGTGATAAGAACACTGCATGTGGTGCTTTGAATCCATTGGGGAACCCTGGCTCAGTTGTTATATTGCAGTGAGAAGTACCGTGAGTGTGAGTAACAGACAGTTACCCCTGCTGTGGTGTCTGAGAGGGATATTTTAAGCTATGACATGCAGGATAAACTGATGTAGCTAGGTGGAGGGTGGGTAGGTTGGGAAAGTGGTTTCTAGGCAAAGGAATGGCCACTTCAAAGGTTGTTGGGCGAAACAGAGCAGAAGGTAGACCAGGGAAGCTGGAGCATGACCAGGAGGCAGGTGCCCAAGTTCTATAGCTAAAATAAAGGGTTTGGGAATAATGCCCAGTGGGAAGAGCTTGAACCAAACAGTAGCGTGACCAGATTTGCATATTGGTAAATGCCCTCTTGATGCCGTGTGGAGAATGGAGGGGTAAGGGCAGAGGTGGACGTGGGGAGACCAGGAGGAAGTAATTGCACCGTAAACTTTAGCTTCGTGTCACTGGACTTCGCATTTTGACTCTGCAGACCATGTAGTCTCTGTTGCAAGTACTCATCTCTGTTGTTGAAGTGCAAAAGCAGCCATAGATGATACACAAAGGAATGGGCATGGCTGTGTTCCAATCAAACGTGGTTTAGAGAAACAAGCAGCATACTGAATTTGGCTTGTGGGCATAGTGTGCCAACTCCTGATCTCTCGGCTACTAAGAAGTAAATGTGTCTAAGGGATACTGAGGAGGTGTATCACCTGGTTATGGGTGTGTTTGAGGAGGGCAAGTAGGTGAAGTAAAGTCGGCTTTCTGGTTTCTGACTTCAACAACTGTGTGGATAAATGGTGCAGTGAGGAATAGTGGTGCTGAGTGCACTTGGCGACGGCGGCTTATGTGGGTGTGTGAGGAGTTGAGGGATGCTGGTCACTGGTTGGATATCTGGGTATGCAGGGAGGTCTGAGCTGGAGGAGCTCAGAGAGGGAAAGAGTGAAGAGGGCACAGACAGCTTCCAGGATAACCCCAATGTCTGATGGTTAGAGAAGGAAGAACCAGCAAAAGAGCCAGAGAGAAAGGAAAAAAATTGAGAAGGACAAGTTGTTCGTGGTATTAGAAGGAGGAGAAGGATGGACAAAATGAGGAGTTTTTGTTGGATTTGGCCACGTGGAGATCGCTTATAATTGGTTGAAACAGTGTCAGCAAGTGTTGGGCTTTTTCTGTTTATGTCTTTCTTGTTCACAGAAAGACAAATTTAAAAATCTACTTCTTAAGATTTCAGGTTCAGTTTGCAAATTGTATTCCATTTAAGAATAATAGCAAATATTAGCGTGATTTTAAAAAAGAGCCTTTAACTAACTTACTTAATGTCCATTTACAAACTTAGGATCCTTAAATATTTTACTGCAATTTAAAACTTATTTTTTTTCCTGTACTTTGATTGTTCGAATGACAATTGAAGTAGTTAAAAAAAATTTTTTTTTGAGTCTGTGTCTCACTCTGTTATACAGGCTGCAATGCAGTGTCATGATCACTACTCACCACAGTCTCATCCTTCTGGGTTCAGGGTACCCTCCCACCCCAACCTCCTGAGTAACTGGGACTACAGGCATGCACCACCATGCATGGCTAATTTTTTGAAGAGATGTCTCACTATGTTGCCTAGGCTGGTCTTGATCTCCTGGGCTCAAGCAAACCTCCTGCATTGGCCTCCCAAAGCGCTGGGATTACAGGTGTGAGCCACCATGCCTAGTCACAATCATATTTTTATATAATATACTCGAATAGGTCTTCTGAATCTAACAAATTAAACATAATTGTGATGAGTCTACTTAATAATGTATCTTCCCGGATTTAATAGATGTTCACCCACAACTGAGTGAGACTAGGCTTTGGGGAACGTCTTCCTATCTCTTGAAATTTCCTCATGCTCTGACTGTGGCTCTCACTCCTAGGACCTTTTTTTATGATCACTGTGCCAGGGACATCAAACTAAATGAAAGAGGAGCTCTCATAGTCCGGGTCGTTTAGATTCACAGACTATGCCAGCAGACTTTTCTGTGTCTTGACACATGTTTGTAGCCCCCACCCTCCTACCCACATGCCTTGATTGGATTTTTCATTTCCTTTTTTTGAAGATACGTTGGCATCATTCCAGGTAGCTCTGAAGATCTTTGAACTTAATAAAGTCTTGCATTCTTTTCATATACTGTTGACTCTTCCACTATAACTCTTCCACATATTAAAAATGATAGCCAATTCAAAAATGATGAATTTTGGTAATCTCTTATTGGTTTTGTCTGACTTGAGGATCATGGCTCCTAAGTCATGGCTCCTAAGGTCATTGTACTGGTGGACGGCACACTGCTAAAACAAAACAACTGCTTGATTATTACCAGGTAGACTTTTAAATAAAAGTAGATTTCTGTGTTTCAACAGAATTTTCAACAAGCATGAGAAACACCAACGTGCTGCGTTCTTATGTGTATTTAGAACACACTCACCTGCTTAGTGCTGTACTAGGATGATTTCCATTAGAATGTAAGCCAGGGATGGCCGATTTCTCTGTGTTGCTCACAGTTGTTATTTCCAGTAAATAGAATAATGCCCCCCATTGAGCAGCTATTCAAATACTTGTTGAATGAATGAATGAGTATAGTTTCTGAGTAAATGACAGATTGTTTGCCATTAATGCTAGATTGAGCATTTTGCTTCCTTTGAAATGTTTTTTTCCCCTTTTTTTCTTCTTTTAGGCAGAAACCACGAACACTAGCCTCTTGCAGGTGCAGCTGGAGTGCAGTTTACATAATAAAGTGTGCCAGCAATTAAAGGTGAAATAGACGATTGAGTGTTTTCTCCCTGTCTTCCTTCCTGCTGCTTTGCTAAAAAAAAAAAAATTTTTTTTTAATGAGCACATTTTGCTCTCAGAATTACATGTGCCATTACCTTAAGTGCCTTTTTTCCCTCTTTGAAATCATAAAGCCCTAATTAGCTTTTGAGATTTTCCTATTTTCTCCATCCCTGCAATCTCAGAGTTGTTATCTGCAATCTGATGATGTTTTGCGCATACAAATGAGCATTATGGTAACAATGGAAAACGCCTCAAAAGAATTTGAAGACAATGCACAAGATTTGTTAGATCATCTCTCTATTGTTTATGTAGCTACAGATAAATCTGAGACATCAGGTAAGGTGACATCTTTTAATTTTTCATTGTAATATGTTTTTATCAACCTACCTCCTCATTCTATTGCATTTACCTGTAGATTGTACCAAGACAATGAGCCTTTGCTTTAAGTGTTAAGACCTGGTTCTCAGTCTGCAGCTGCTAGTAAGGCTGTATTATTTTAGAAAGTTAAGTGACAACTGCAGACTATTCTGAGTTTCCTTTGGTATTAATACTTCTTGGTGTTTTGGAGATAAAAAACAAATTAAATGAGCATGGCAGTGTAATATAAGTATTTACAAAGTATTTGAGGTTTTGAGTTTCTTGTTCCAGTTGTACTGATTTGTATAAGCTCAGTTGACCAAATTATGCTGTTTTGTATTTTTGATAGTTGATAAGATGCTGGTTGTTGCAGGCTACTTGACAAGTGAGAATAGAATTTTAGTGTTCAGTTTTTACGAATTTTATCTTTGGAAATGTGTGTCCTACTTACTAGAACCTAGTTCATCAGTTTAGCTTTCTGAGAACTTTCGGAAGACACACATTATATGATCCATTATATGATGTAGGATTTGCTAGTATCCTTTGGTTATCAAGACTTTTCTGTATGTGTGTGTGTTCATATTCAAAGAAAGAAATGGTTCTAATAGCATATAAAAGCAGTCTTAGTTGTTGGTCAGACATCCTTTACCTGCCAGTCTCCAGAATTGCCTGTAGTAGTGACAGATGAGCAGGAGAGCTCTGCTGTCCTTGGGTTTGTAGTTCTTGGTGATTCTCATAATGGCCACATGAACATCAGTGTGTGGGGGAAGACCCTGACCCTTGGGTAAGATTTCTGTTGGAGAGGGCCATAAGGAAGCCTGTGTTTTGAGATCTCAGCGTCTTATTCTTTCCAAACATGGTTATTTAAATGAGGAAATAAGGGACTGTGTAGTCAACAGGAGAACATAGCTTTATTTGAAACTGTCTCGATGGGTAGTTTCATCAGGAAGAGCAGAGTATAACCCTAAACTCAGAATTTCTCTCCTGATAGTTCTTTGCTATTTAGAGAGCCTAGGCAGGTTGGTAATTAAGTCTTTCTGTAAGGATCTTTTTTCTTGTGACTTAAAAGAATACCCAGAAGACACCTAGTTTCAATCTCCGTGCTGAGAAGTAAGCTAATTTTTAAAAAATAGACGTGTGTAATGTGATATTTTAATTACAAATTAAGATGTGGGAATAAGGTCTCTGTTTTAATCTCATTGCTCTGATTCTTTTGGACAGGTGATTCAGCAGTAAATATGTATATCTTACATTCAGGAAACAGTCTTATATGGATACAGGTAATTGTCAGCACTTAATGTAAAGTACAATTTGAAATTAAAGGTGTGCATTTAATTGTGGAATGTATTGATTCTCAGCCTTTTGACTAAGATCAAGTGTAGTATCAGTGTTTATCAGTTTAATTGTGGAATGTGAGGATTTTTCAGGATTAGATACAGAAGCACTGTATCCGTTCTCTTTTGCTTTAATTTAAATCCATTTTCCCTTGCTTGACAAGCCCTATCTGTATGGAGTTGGGCAGCGCTCTCTCCCCTCAGCATTATGGGCACAGATGTTGAGCAGTTGCCACGTATGCTGGTCTATGCTTTCTGCTTATTCTAACAGAGTTGATTCAAGCTGTGAGTAGTAATGTGGGATTTTTTTTTTTTTGTTACAGGACGTCCATCATTTCCCAAAGAGAGATGCTCTGTCTCTGCAGTTTGAACCAGTGTTACTTCCTACTTCTACAACAAACTTTACAAAAATTGCTTCTTTTACTTGCAAAGGTACAGATTTTAGAAATGTGAGAGATTATCTTTTTACTTTTGTTAGCTGTCAGGTTGACATCTCTTTCTGTGAAATCATTCACAACTGCAGATTAGACATCATTTTTAAGAAGTGCTTGGGTTTGATTTCCATAAACTGCAGGCTTACTGGTTCTAAGATATAGTATGATATAAAAAACTATTGTTTGGTGCCATTTTTATTCTGCCACCCATGCAGTAATTTGAGTGTAAAGATTAACTTGATGGTTTGTAGGGCCAGGCTGTAAGTGTGTGTGAGGAAGGGGCTGCTTTCACAAGTAGCAGTGTTTTACCGTTGTGCTGCTCTGGCTTTGTTTCCTTGTGTGGAATGTGATGCAGAATGCAGAAACCAGAGACCCCCAATCCGGTCAGTGGCCTATGAGGAACTGGGCTGCCACAGCAGGGGGTGAGCGGCGGGTGAGCAGCGCTCCGCCTCCTGTCAGATCATGGCAGTGTTGGATTCTAACAGGAGTATGAGCCCTATTGTGAACTGCACATGCAAAGGATCTAGGTTGGGTGCTCCTTATGAGAATATAATGCCTGATGTTCTCCCACTCACTTCCCCCACCCTGTCCATGTAAAAATTATCTTCTACAAAACTGATCTCTGACGCCCAAAAGAAGGTTGGGGACCACTGGCAAACCCAATCCTATCTTGAGGCTTGTTCTTAACAATTCAAAAGAGTTCTATAAAGAAATTCAGAGGGATTTTCAAGATAGGGAGACATACTCAGCCTCACTCATATTTAAAGAAATGTAAGTTAAAGCAACACATGAGACATCATGTATTTCTTGGATCGATAAAATCCAAAATGGTTGTTAATATCCTGTGTTGGTAACAGGAAAGAAAACAGTTGCGATGGATGCAGGCTGTTTTGGAGGGAACATTGGCAGTCTCTGTGAAAACATAAAATGCAGGTGTATTCTCTTTGATTCTTAATTCTAGTTCTAGGAATTTACCTTACAGATATACTCATACGTGTTCAGACTGCACCTACCAGACTGGGTGCGGTGGCTCACACCTGTAATCCCAGCACTTTGGGAGGCTGAGCTTGGAGGGTTGCTTGAGACTAGCCTTGGTAACATAGCAAGAACTTGTCTAGGCTGAGGTGAGTGGATTGCCTGAGCCCGCGGGTTCGAGACCCGCCTGGGCAGCGAGACCTCATCTCTACAATAAATCAAAAAATCAGCTGGGCTTGGTAGCGCATGCCTGTAATTCCAGCTACGCGGAAGGCTGAGGTGGAAGGGTCGCCGAAGCCCAGCAGGTCGAGGCTGTAGTGGCTGGGAGCGGCCACAGCACTCCAGTCTGGGCGACAGAGTGAGACTCCAACTCAAAAAAAAAAACCCAAAAAACTATGCCCACAGAAATGTGTGTGTGGTGACAGAATAGTCCAAGTACCCATTGATAGGGGCCTGGTTACTTGTCGTTTATCCACAGGAGGGCATGCTCTGGAGCCATGCAAAAGCACACACAGACAAGCAGTGCTGGTTAAACTAAAAGACTAAACTAAAAAAGTGGTTTAGTCTTTTTTAAGGGTGTCTTTGTACTTGTGGATACACAGAACACCTGGAGGGAGGCTCAAGAAACTGCCAACAGTTGTCTCCTCTGTCTAAGATAATTGGGAGTCAGGGGCGAAAGGTATTTTCACATTTTTTGTTAGTGTTGGAAATGTTTTTTGGAACCCTAGAATAGCTTTTAAAAAGAAGAGTTGGGTATTAGTATCAGTGTTAAGAATTAACACCAGTGATTTAATATCATGACCCAAATCTAGGAAAGCTTAAAAGTTTTTATTTGGATAACTGAGCGGTGTGGAAATGCAGTCCCACTATTTGCTGGGAAGTTCCTTTTTGCTCTTTAGGTTTTATCACTTTCTTCCTCATGTCTCCACGCTCCTCTTTCCTCACGCAGCTGAGTTTCATTTTTTACTTTGGTCACTTCTGGCAGACCTCAGGACTGTCTTACTAATGATGAACACAGCTCTGTGTAGAGGGAATGCTGCGAAGTGTTGACTCTAGCCTTTTTTTCCCCTAAAAAAGAAATGATGGGTTGGTTAGTAGGAGGTATAGACATCAGGTTTCTGGGGATTGGCCACAAGCCAGTAAGGAAGACCCATGGGAGCACTTGAGGAAGTATGTTACCATTTGTGTCTAATTCACTCTTGATGGAGACAGAAAAGTGGATTTAAAAGCTATAAATGAGACATGTATCTTTTTTTGATCCTCCTGAATAAAGGAAAGGATACTTACGTTTCCTATTTATTTCTTTTTACTACACAGCTACATCATGTGATGGTGGAATTATAGAAGATGTGAAGAAAACAAAACACACTCCAACACTGAAAGCCTGCCTCGCCTCTTCCGTGGCTCAAGGGTAGGTTCATTCTGTTTTCCCTGACATCATGTGTCCCCTGGTCTGCAGAAATGCTTTCTACATTTAAGTGAGATAACCTGATTCTCTTTCCCTCCAAACTCGCCTCCTTGGCCTTAGCACTGCTAAAGGCAGGACAAGGGCTGTTCGCAGAATGGGGAAGATAATTTGAAATACAGTCATTCTGTTAGTGAAACAGGTTTGGGGTCAGGCATCCAAGCGTGAACCTGAATGAGAACTCACAGGGTGGTTCCAGTGCTGGTTTTGCCCTGGCAGCCTCTGTGAGCTGTTTCTGGTGTGGACTTTGGCTGCTCCATATGGGGTCAGGAGGTTTAAAGGCGGTGAGCATGGAGGCCGTCGTTGATGCTGGCATTGGTTTAGTAATGCTTTATGTTGCTCCTGTTTTTGCGGTTAGAGGCTCTGTAGCGGGCTGCTGGCTGTCCCACTCAGGACTCATAGCATGCATGTCCTCTGTTCACAGGTATTTTAGAGTGGACTCTTCTGCAACCCAGTTTCACATAGAGACTCATGAGAACACTTCAGGACTTTGGTCAATATGGTACCGCAACCATTTCGACCGTAGTGTTGTATTAAATGATGTGTTTGTTTCCAAGGAGACAAAGCACATTTTAAAGGTACATATAGTGTTCCCCACCCCCAAGTTTTAGTGTATTTTAAGCTTTGTATAAGGTCAAATGCTATGAAATTATTGCTCATACAATTTAATTTTGACTTACGATTTTAAAAACAAGAGTTTTTCTTTTAACATCTTCAGAATTTTAGGAGATCTATTTTTTTAAAACTATTTTTTAAGGATCTCAAAGGGACTAGGATATAACCTTTAAGAATATTTGCTCTTACTATTATTCAAAACTATTATAATTATGATTTGTACTAAAAAGATTATATTTAGTAAAAATAGGCCTGGTTTGTGATAAAATAGTAGGTTTTTGCAAAGTACCACTTATGGAAAGTTTAAGATTACTTTTGTGAAATTCAAAATGGTGGCAAATTAAACATTATTTGTAACCTAGTATTTCTGTAAAACTGTTTCAATCTTTGATCTGCAAATAACTGAGTAAAATTGTATTTTCTTAAGAGTAGGAGAACTTTAGCATCATACTTTATAATGATTTTAATCATAATTATTGTGAGGAAAAGTAATTTCTCTTGCTTCTTTTCTTTTTAGATTCTGAATTTCACTGGCCCTTTATTTCTACCTCCAGGCTGTTGGAATATATTTTCTTTGAGACTTGCTGTTAAAGACATGGCCATAAATCTGTTCACCAATGTCTTTTTGACCACAAACATAGGTGCTATTTTTGCAATACCGCTACAGATTTACTCAGCACCGACCAAGGTATTGTTTACAACACTGTCTGTTATAGTTGTCTTAATTATTACTTATGGTGCTTGGGTTGAACTCATATTCTTTAAGGCTGTCTAAGAAATTGAAGGCTATTACCAGGCCAACCTTAGAAGATAAAATTGTTTAGACATGGACATCCTTGTTTGGAAAGAATTTCTATTTTTCATAAAGTAATTTTAGGGTCTTGAATGAAATAAACCATTACCAATAGATTAATCTATCTTGTTTTTATTTACTTCCAAAATTTGTAGAGTGCGGAACATGTGCTTGCTGTAAACAAACACAGTTGAGCTTTTACTACATACTTGTAATGACTTCATGTAAATTAGATTGTTAAATGCTTTCTTTATACCTCTTGTAAGTGATTCTGAGTTGCTGGTAATCCTTGAATTTCCTTAGTGGGCCAAATCTAAAGCCAGAAAAGTTCACAATTAAGATAATGCTTTCTAAAATAGGAGTAAATTATATTTGATTTAGATTATCTTAAACATGTCTCATTTTTTTCTTAATGTTTATTTCTTTTCATTTAGTTGTTATTGCTTCCTTTTGATTCAAGCTATTTTGTGTAACACTGGGTTCTAGTTTTTCTATGAAACATTCATGCAACCATCTTTATGATTTTTTTCTCACAGTGTTGATCTTTCATAGGTAGAAATGCCTTATAGTTTAGCTATAAGTGTGCAGATAGAACTAAAATTAAACCATATGTAAGACTAGTTCTTTTCATCCATATTTTGAACATGGGAGGTTTCTTAGAAATTTCCTTTTTCCATTCAAGAGACGCATATCAGAAGAGTGACTGTGGGAGGGGCAGGCAGGTGTCAGGTGTGTGTGGAAGTAACACGTTTGTACACTCCAGATCTGTAGAAAATGGGAAATTAAATGTCCTGAGTAGATGTGGATCAGCATACTGTTTCCCAGAGGATTAGAATACAGTTAAAACCAAACTAAACCACAAACAATGTCCTGAGACTAACTTAGTCTTTCGACTCAGATGGCAGCTTGGTGTTTTGTGAGCCCAAGGGTCATTATTGGCATTGATTGCTGCATGGAATCCATGGCAGTGACTGACCCTTTCTGGGAGAGAGAGTTCATATTTCTCCGAGTGGATTCAAGGATAAAGGAAACAAAGAAATTACTTTCTAGTTTTTTGTTTTGTGGTTAAAGGGAAGTTCCTAGAGGCGTAGGTCAATGTCTGCTTTGTGTTTTAGTGCATGAGGATTTTGATGTTTAGTGTTGTGTTTTAAGTGATTCATATATTACTTTTCAATCTAGGAAGGGAGTCTGGGTTTTGAAGTGATAGCACATTGTGGCATGCATTATTTCATGGGAAAGTCAAAAGCAGGTAAGTGTTATGTCCTTAGGCTTTCTGTAGAAATCTAGTTTGGGGGAGTGGGAAGTAGAGAGGAAAATGAGCTTAATGAGCATTTGTGGATGGAACAATTAGTTCTGTAAAGGTAATTGCATCATATTCTATTTTTGGAGAGCATGATTTTTAACAGAATGACTTGTAATTGTTAAGAATCCTCCAGAAACATCTGGGGTACTTGTGTAATTAGTGCCTCCTTGTTATTTAGTTATTTAATTCCTTTACAAGGGATTTTTTCTCAAATAACGTTATTTGTTCATCATGACACCCATAGAATAGGAAAAATGAGAAGATTGATTCTTTTATAAAAGAGCTGAATAGAAATTAGTAAAAACAATATGGAATTGCATTGGAAGACTTAACTTACGGAAGCATAAACATCTCATAGGAGGTGCTAGTTGTGGCGTGAGACTGAAGGCCCTGTGTTGCTGTAGAAGCTGTTTCTTCTTTCTGGATTTTTTTTTTTTTTTTTTTTGTCTTTTGATTTTTTTAAAGATATTTCATCTTGGGAGAACTTTAAGGTACACAGACTTCTCTGGGGAGATTCCTGCCTTTTCTTCCTGACACCCTCATTAGCACAGACAGGACAAAACCAGTTAGGTAATAGGATGAGGTGAGCAATAGACTGGTTTATAAGCATGCACCTCGTCTAGGATCTGCCCTCAGTCTGTGTCCTTTTTTAGAACTGCTGCTGCCTGTAAGCTGCTGTCCCTACAAGGTGACCTGAAGGACTCTCATGCTCATTAGCATATACACAGAAACAGTTCAGCATTTTTTATTTAAAGCTGTTAAAAATGTTCCAAGTATAATTTTAATTTGTTTCTGGCTGTATTCATGAGCCATGTGTCTTTTATGTTGTTACCTTTACATGATTCGATTCAGTTTTGTTTTATACATGTTTGTTTCATTTGATATGCCATTTGCCATTGAGTTAGAAAGGACTTTTAATGGCGGAACCAAGGACAGAGGTGGCGTTATTCACTCTGTAATCCTCTCGGTTGGAGAAGCTTGACAGCCAGCCCTTGACATTCGTTACTAATTGAATTGTATTTTTTCTGAGTCTCAATATTGAATCTGATCTAACTTTTAGGAAATCCTAATTGGAATAGGAGCCTTTCTCTGGATCGGTCTACCTGGGATGTGGATTCCGAACTTGCAAATAAATTGTATGAAAGGTGGAAGAAATATAAAAATGGCGATGTCTGCAAGTATGTTTCTACCTTTCTTCTTTTTGTTCAGAGAGTACCTTTACAGTAGTTCCCCATATCTGTAGGGATACTTTTCAAGACTCCCAGTGTATACCTGGAACTGAAACCCTTTAGATACTGTGCACGTTTTTTCCCCCCCTTCATCATAGTTTCACAAATAGCAGATTCATTCTTGCTGAAGATCTTAGCTGTCTCAGCATACAATTTTTTTTTCTTATTAAGCTGACAACTTTCACTTTTTCACTTGAAGGAAGCACTTTATGGCTTCTCCTTGGCATATCTGAATTGCCAGCGTCACTACTCTTGCACTTTGGGGCCGGTATTAAGTCAGGTAAAGGCAATTTGAACACAAGTGCTATGATTCCCTGACAGTTGATCTGATGATGAAAATGGCTGCTGTTTGACTAACAGGCAAGTAGAGTACACAGCATGGACATGTTGGGTGAAGACGTGACTCACATATCTCAGGCAGGATGGGGCACAATGGCTTGAGATTTCATCAAGCCCCTCAGAATAGTTCACATTTTGAAACTTACAAGTTGTTTATTTGTAGAATTTTTCATTTAACATTTTTAGGCCTTGGTTGAACAGAGGTAACTGAAACTGCCAAAAGCAAAACTGTGGATGAGGAAGGACTGCTGTACCTAGTACTTCATTGAAATCGCAGTCCTCGGCCAGGTACGGTGGCTCTGCCTGTAATCCCAGCACTTTGGGAGGCCGAGGCAAGAGAATTTTCTGAGCCCAGGCTCAAGACCAGCCTGGGCAACTTGGTGAGGCCTCGTCTCTACAATAAATCACAAAAAACTAGCCAGGCATGGTGGCATGCGCCTGTAGTTCCAGCTACTTGGAAGGCCGAGGCAAAAGGATTACCTAAGCCCAGTAGGTCGAGCCTGCACTCCAGCCTGGGTGACAAGAGTGAGACTCCAACTCAAAAAAAAAAAAAGAAAAGAAATTGCAGTCCTCAATTTAAGTGTTTGATATTTCTCTCCAGCTTTTTATTTTGACATATTTCAAACCTGAGAAAAGTTGAAAGATAGTGCATTGAATGCACTATCTCCTCATCTAGATTTTATTTTCTTTGTGTTCATTTCTGTCACTTTTGCTTTATTTCCCTCTATATCTGTGTGTGTACATACACGTGAATACACACACACACACACACACACACACACACACACACACAGATTTTTTTTCTCCAAGTCTTTGAAAATAAGCTGTAGATTGACATCAACTCTCAATGCTTTGTTAGAAAACTCTTTACTCCTAAGGAGGAAGAGTTTCTTATCTATAGATTTACTACCATTACATAACATTGGTACAATTACATTAGCTAATATACAGTCTGTATTAAAATTTCCCTAGTTGACCCAACAGTATTGGTTATATCTGCTTTTTTTCTTTTTCCTTTTGAAAAAGTTTCATTATCCATTTAAGGATCATGCATTGTATTTAGCTATCATGCTTTCTTAAGACATAGTATTTCATTTTTAAAAAATATTTTAAAGATATGTGGTACAATTCAGGTATACAAGTGGACATCGTAGAGGTAAAGTTTGGGCCTCCCTTTGGTCCCCACTTTACCTGGTTTGAGATCAGGTACCCTTATTGATGTCATGTCCCCCTGTGCCTGGCAGTATCCCGCTACTGCCAAGACCAGTATTCCCATCTCTCTTGGTTTTTCATCATTTTGACAGTTTTAAGAGTTCAGGCCAGTAGTTTTCCAGAACACTCCACACATTAGATTTTTCTGATTGCTTCCTCAAGTACACTTTCAGGTTGAAGATTTTTGGTAAGAATGTGAATTACCTGGCTGATCTTGCACTTGTATCATTGCATCACATCAGGAGATACATAAATGTCAATTTGTTCCATTCTTGGCATTGCTACATTGAATCATTTTGTTATGTGATGTGTGACAGAACTCTCCATTGTCCATACCTTTTTTCATTTTGTAAATAATAAATAATCTGTGTTGTGATAATTTGGCACCATATGAATGTCCTGTTCTCTAAGAATGCTACATCCCATGGTTTTAGTAAGTTCATTGATAATCCTTGCCTGACTTAGTCATTAGACTGATGGCTGCAAAATGGTGGCATTTCTGATTATTTCATTCATTCTACATTTATTAGCAGATACTGTTTTTAAAAAACAGCACTTCTCTTCCTTTTGAGCTTCACTGTGGATACCTTAGTCAGTGTGTTGTCCTCAATTATAATCACTGTTATCCTTGAAGACAAATTGTTCCAAATAGGGCTGGTGGGAGCCCATCAGGCTGACTTGTATGTCCCTTTGCCATGTTCCCATTGTTCTCTGAGCACTTTCTTGCTTTCTAGTGAAACAGGATGTTCCAGGGTTGATCTTGTACTTTCTCTTCCACAGGCATAGAATAAGTCTTTTCCCCAGGAGACCTTGATCCTTTTAATGGGAGTGGTATTTAGTGATTTCCCTCTTTTTGAATGTCACAATTATTTCTCATAATAATTGCTCTCTTCATCAATTAAACAGGAGGAATGTTTTGGGAATGACTCGGTTTACTCCCTTGAAGAAATCCAAGGAGTCAGAGTCCTTTGTCTTCTTCCTCCCTCGTTTGGTCACAGAGCCTGCCCTCGTGTTAAACTTCAGTGCAACTGCCCTCAGGAACAGTGTGGTGAGGACAGTGTCTTCTCATCTTTTTGTCAGTGATACCCCAACTTGGGTGTTCACCGTATCAGAGTATTTCCACCTTGATGTATCGTTTTAGATCCAAATTGATTTAAAGTCACACACATACACCATTCAGAACCTTTGGTAGGGAGGTGTCAAAAGAACTATATGAGGCCAGGCATGGTGGCTCATGCCTGTAGTCCCAGCACTTTGGGAGGCCAATGTGGGAGGGTTTCTTGAGCCCGGGAGTTCAAGACTAGCCTAGGCAACATAGTGAAACCTTCTCTCTACAAAAAAGTAAATATGGGCTTGGTGGCGTGCACTTGTACTATAGTTCCAGTTACTCAGGATGCTGAGGTGGAAGGATCGCCTAAGACCCAGGAGGTTTAGGCTGTCGTGAGCTGTGATCGTACCCCTGCACTCTAGTCTGGGTGACAGAGTAAGACCCTGACTCAAAAAAATAAATAAATAAGTAAAAGAATTAGATGAGGAGTTGAAACTCGAAACAGACTGCAGATGCATAAACAAGTAGATTCTGAGTTGAATGTAAACTCCATAAGTAAAACATATCAGTTAAGGAAGTCCTCAGCCACAGACAGTAGAGACAGTCTTGCCTGGCCTACTCAGGAGTTGGCTTGCTTCATAGCAAGAAGCTGAAGGAGGGAAGTCCAGAATGAGTCAGGTTGCTCTGGAATCCATCGGGGCCGAAGCTCCTCTGCTTTCCAACGTTAGTGTGCTGGCATCCTTGCTCTTGTGTGCTTTTCTTGGCCAGCTGTGGTGGCCAGAAGACAGGCAAAGGAAAAAAAGTGCCACCAACAGACTTTCCTTTGTGTCTCCTAAGTCTCATTGCCAAGAACGATATGACGCATGTCTTGAGTTATAATGTGCACCTTACAGGTGCCTGGGAGATTCTAGGGATAACATCTTCAGATATTTAATTTTTAAATTTTGAACAATTTCAACTTAGAGAGGTTTCAAGAATAGTCCCAAGAACCCCTAATTGCCTTTCACAGAGATTCATCAATTCTCTTTTTATACTTTTGTAGAGACAGGGCCTCACTGTGTTGCCCAGAATGCTCTCAAACTCCTAGCCTCAAGTGATCCTCCTGCCATGACCTCCCAAAGTGTTGGAATTACAGCTGTGAGCTACCACACTCGACCCAGATTCAACCATTTTTTTTAGTGTTGGCCAAGTGTGGCTTTTTGCTCTCTCTTTCTTTCTGCAGATACGTATTTTTCTCTGAGTCATTGAGTGAATAAGATATGATGCCCTCTACCTGTAACTCTTTTAGTTATCTAAGAACAAGGCCATTTTCTTAGATAACCAGAGTATAATGATCAAAATCAGAAACTGTAACATTAATCATGACACTGTTATCTAATCTACAGTCCGTAGTCAAGTTTTTCCAGGGATCACACTTCATAGCATTTTTTTTTTTCTGGTTCAGAATTCAGTGCAGTATTGTCCACTGCCTTGCCAGGCCTTCTTAGTCTCCTGTGTTCTTCCTCAGCCTTTCTTTGGGGAAGACGTGGTTGTTTTTGAAGCGTGCAGGCCGTTTATTTCCTAAGACGTTTCTCAACTGGAGTTATGTGACAGTTCCTCATGAATAGATTCAGGTTATGCTTCTTTGTCAGGACCGTCTTGGGAGGATGCTTTGTCGTCCTCAGGGTTTTAACTGTCTTTTCCCTACTCCTAGCTGAAGTCCTTTGCGGTGAAGAACCCGTCCTCTCGGCCAGTCTCCCTGCAGCTCCTGCCTCTGTCCTTGTACCCTAAACCCGAAGCCATAGTGCGCCTGCTGCACAAATGGTATGAAGATTTTCTGATGGGCAGTTTGGGAAATGCTGTTCAGACTCACAATTATTTCAAGTCCTGCAGTTTTTCCAGCCAAGACCTGTATGTGAACGTGTGCACAATATTAGCCCATCAACCCATGTACCCTCCCCTCAGTGCATGTGATGGGATGGAAATGCCTAATCTTGTATATTACACGGCTTCTTCAGTGTTACAGTGTCAAGTCCACTTCCCAATAAAAAACATTCTTTTTTTTATTTAGGGAACCTTTATCATCACAGCTTTTCACATTTCCTCCTAAACTTTGGAATCTAAATCATGATGATATCGGGACAACATGAGAAATGAGTTCAGTGTTTTAGTACATTGAGCCCTCTGCGTGTGTGAGGGAATTGGTTCTGGGACCCCTGAGTTTGCTCAGTCAAGTACCTTGAAATCATGAGTGGAAAAAGTTGGCCCTCTGTATCTGAGGGTTCCGCATCTGCAGTTGGTTGAACTTGGAGATGCGGAGGGCTGACTGTGTGTTCTAATCTGGCGTTAAGCAAGATGAGGTGATAAAATAGTACTGGTTTGTGTTTGTTTTGTCTTATTTTCACGCAATCGCAGTGTTGCTTAGAACGTTAAGGTCTCCCTTATCCCAGGGTTTCTCGACTTCAGCACTGTTGACATTGTGGACCAGGTGATTCTGTTTGGTGGGAGTGGGCGGGGCTATCCGTGGGTTGAAGGATGTTCAGCAACATCCCTGGTCTGGCATCTGCCTTCTAGATGTTGGACCTCCCAGCTGCGGCAACCAAAAATGTCTCTAGACATTGCCTGCTATTTCCTGGGGAATGAAATTGCCCATGATTGAGTCACAACTGTGAACCATTAGGGGAAACAGTTGCTTTTTATTTAGAGCTTTTGTCACTGTATGCTTGCTGCTTTAGTTTCTGTGATCCCAACATTGTTCATTCAGCAGGATTTATGAGCACTGACAGCTTGGCAGGGATGGGACTGGGACACAGTGGTGACAGGCAGTATGAGTAAATTGTATATGTGTGTGTGCACGTGCATAAACACATGCTTACCTGTGTACAAAGGTATAGATGTGCATGCACTTGTATTATTAAATCTTCTTTTTTTAGATGATAGATCTGAGTGCTGTTTTAAACATTTGCTTTTTTTCTTTATAGGTTTGGCACTGATATCCAGATGATGAATTTCACAACTGGTGAATTCCAGCTCACCAAAGCTTGCCCCTACCAGGTAGGATGTCATTTGTATTTGTAGACAGAAACCTAAGTGTGTGGTTCTCACTGATTTATGTTTAAAAGTATCTTAATGTACTGTATATGACTCTTTTGTTTTAATTCTCTGGGCATGGATGATACATAACAGATTTTTCCATGTAACTAGTGCAGTAGGAGTTGGGTTCATGTTAGCCTATAAATAATTTTAATTTGATGATTTAGAATCATGTGCATGAAGAAATCACAGTTGAATCAGAGATATGTAGAAAACTACAAAACTTGAGACTCCAGAATTTATAATGGTCTTAAGATTCCTTGAACCCCTCAAATTCTTTCTTAGGGAAAAATAAGGTAAAAATAAATACATTTTAAAAAATCTTCCCTTGTTAAACACTATTCGTGTTTTTAGCAAGTCACTCAGTTTCTGGGATGTTCACCTCATCTGTAATAAAAGGACTTCTAAAAAAATCCCTAAGCCTATGGACAGTTCTGAGGCCTTGCCTCAATACTTCATAGTGGGTGTAAATATGTCATGTGGTGAGGATGTTGTTTGTGGGCGCTTGGTAGCCTTATTTTCCAGTTTCCACTCAGTTGCTCTATGGCTGTTAGTGCATAGCTGAGTGTTGGCCTTCTAGGTAGCCTGTTTGAGATCAGTTCAAAAGTAGAACATCTGTTAAAACACACACACACACACACACACACACACACACACACACACACACACACACAAACATGCATGTGCATGTAACACTGTTTCTACCACACACACACGTATTTGAGTGCCTTGAGCATCTCTTCTTTCTCTACCCATATCCCTCCAAAAATAGCCTTTTGGCTCTAGGTTAGCTTGAATAACAGATGGAGGGAACCCACGGCAACCCATTACCAGCAGACTTGGCTGTCTCTTCTGAAGGGGTTTGCACCTGGGTGTGACCTTGTCCTTGTCAGCAAGTCTGTTCCCTCTCTCCCTCTCATTCTCCCCTCCACCAGGCAGTTTCCAGTGCTGTTGAAGATAATTTAACCAAAGTGCTAAAAGATGTTTTACCCCCACTGGTATTGAATCATATGTAGTTTGAAATTCCAAAAATATTTTAAATCTAAATAGTTTAGGTATAATATTTAGTTTTGAACACATGGTATAACTCATTTAGAAAAAGTTTAAGACTCCTCCTAAGAATATTATACCTTTTGGGATATGCAAACTTATTTCCTTTATTAGTTTATTACATTGGCAAAATAATAGTATCAGTGCCTTGAAGACACTCAAAATTTAACTCAAAATTTTTATGAAAACTTTTTGTCACATAGAGAAAGGCTTCCTACATTTTAATTTTGTTGGTTTGCTTTTTGAAATATAGTTCCTTTGGTTAAGAGTGTATGGAATTTTTTATATACCTTAAAAATGTCAATGCCTGGCATTTAAGAATCTTTTAATAAAGATATTGTTTCTATTATAACTTTAATATTAAAAGTCAGAGGTTTTTAAATTCAGTATTTGTATTATGTGTATAGAGAAGGGTTTCTCCTGTCACAGAGTTTATGATTCTAATGAAAATGAATAAAAAACTATCACATTTCTTTCTTTCGGATAGCATGGGTAATACTAGCAATAATTGAAAGATAAAACAAATTCAAAATATAGGAAAGAGAAAGAATACTGTTCAAGTTATGTGATTATAACTCTAAGAAATTAATACATTAATACATTGTTTTTAGTGAAAAGGAGCTAGGAATTTCAGTGGAAACAGGGATAGTTTATTTACCACACAGATAAATCTTGGATAGTAAATGTAAAGCACAAGTTTTATTCAGAGAAAGAAACCTTGGAGAGAATAAAGGAAGATGTGAATAAATGAAGATATTTCTCCTGGCTGGAAAGATTAACTCTAGTAAAGATGGTTTCTATATAAACTTAAATTCAGTATAAATAATCTGTATAAAGAGATCTTACACCCAGCAGTGGGTGGTGGTCCTGTCAGATTGATGTAGCATTCAGGCAGAGACTGGTCTATTTTCTGATTGGTGTTTTACCTTCAAAGCATCTTTGTATAGATGACTGCGGCCCCAGCTCCCATCCAAACCAGGAAGCAGTTCCCTTTGTGGCCTCTGTGTCAGATCTGCCGCCTCTTCCTGTATTCCTCCGCTGTGGCTTAGGGACTGTTTACTGATAAATTCTCAGGATAAATAAATTCAAACAGGCTGATTAGGGTGCTCAAATTTGTACTTTTTTTTTTTTTTAAGAGAAGGAGTCTTGTTATGTTGCCCAGCTGGTCTCGAACTCCTGGGCTCAAGCAGTCCTTCCACCTCAGCCTCCCAAAGTGTTGGGATTATAGGTAGGAGTAAACCCTGCCTGGCCATTCTGGACTTTAAGAATGTTTATACTCTAGGATGCCCTTGCTGATGACGGAAGCTTACTTTACAGGAGTCTGAAGTTGTTTAATTGAGTTTGTTAATAATTTTCAGGGTGTGCGTTCTGAGGAACCCAGGTTTGGCATCCTGCATTTACATCTGCAGCCTTTGGAAACGAAAAGGGTTGGTGTTGTTTTCACGCCTGCTGACTATGGAAAAGTTACCTCACTCATACTAATCCGGTAGGTGTGGCCCTGTCACAGAGTCTGTTTCTCAAGGACTCATCTAAGTCTCTCTAGCTAATTGTTAACCTTCACTTCCAATCAGATCTTCAGTGATAAAGCTGTGTTGCAGGGAAGGAAGAGATAGTAGCTGAGAAGAGAGGCCGCTGGAGGCTCAACCCAGCACCTCAGTCTTCTCGCTTCTCCAACAGGGAGCATTTGCCCATGTCCCCAAGAGGGGTAGGACATTTCACTCAGCATCTCATCCAGTGCTGTCACAGAAGGCAGAATATTTGCACACACACACAAATCCACATATCCACTTCTCTGTTCTTAGCATAGAAACTAATACTATAAGAAATGGTTTGACAGTAGCGGGAAACTGCGGTGGGGGGGTGGGATTTACAGTAGTTGAAATTTGCCTGGGGAAGGGGAGGCACAACTCATCAACAAGGGTACCTGCACAATGAATATTTGTAGACCTAACCCTGAATTGTACCCCACAATTTAAAAAAATAAAAAATTCTACCTCTTTGGAAAAAAAAGAAAAGCAATTGAAACACTGCTGTAGACAGTTTTCAGTCTTTAGCATTTCAGTGAACTTACATCACTCTCATGTCTCTTTTGCTCCTGGAATTCTCTGTAACCCTAAAGAACAGTAGGAAAAGTGTGTCGTTGAGGACATTGGTGCTTTTTATTCCCGTTCTTCCTTTTAAATGACAGTTATTTTTATTTTATTTTATTTTTTGAGTGGGAGTCTCACTCTGTCACCCAGACTGGAGTGCAGTGGCCGCTCCTGGCCACTGCAGCCTTGACCTGCTGGGCTACGGCGATCCTTCCGCCTCAGCCTTCCGAGTAGCCGAAACTACAGGCTCACGCTACCACGCCCAGCTAATTTTTGATTTATTGTAGAGATGAGGTCTTGCCAAGTTGCCCAAGCGAATCTCGAACCCACAGGCTCAGGCAGTCCACTTACCTCGCCTCCCAAAGCTCTGGGATTACAGGCTGAGCCACCGAGCCCAGCCTAAATGACAGTTATTGATAACTGGTATAAGCAGCTAAATGTGTTTCACTTTTAATTTTTTTTTTCATCTTTAGGGAGTCTTTACTGAGAGTCTTTTAAAGATTAATAGTAAATTCAGGTCTCTGTTGAAACTTCTGCATCGGTGAGAAGTCTGACAGAAATTTAATTTTCTATTTTTCTTTTTTTGGAGTTGGGGTCACACTCTGTTACCCAGGCTGGAGTGCAGTGACACGATCACAGTTCACAGCAGCCTCAACCTCCTGGGCTTAGGTGATCCTTCCAACTCAGTCTCCCCAGTAGGCTGGGACTATAGGTATGTGCCACCATGCCCAGTGAATTTTTAAATTTTTTTGTGGAGATAAAGTTTTGCTGTGTGTTGCCCAGGTTGGTCTCGAACTCCTGGGCTCAGGCAGCCCACCTACCTTGGCCTTCCAAGGTGCTGGGATTGCAGGCATGAGCCACCGTCCTGGCCCAGAAATTTAATATTTAATAAATGACACTTTAAAAACGTTTTTCTAGTATCAGATTGCCTGGCAAAACATTTCTTATTCGAGAACTTCTTTTGAGTGTGTTCTTCTGCAAATGAACACTACTGAGAAGAAAATATATTAAAGTTCTTAAAAGAGTTTGAGTGGCTGGGCGCAGTGGCTCAACCTATAATCCCAGCACTTTGGGAGGCTGAGGGGAGAGGATTGCCTGAGCCCAGGGGTTCG